GTAGTTGTGGTAGTAGTAGTAGTAGTAGTAGTAGTAGTAGTAGTAGTGGTGGTAGTAGTAGTAGTAGTAGTAGTAGTAGTAGTAGTAATAGGAGTAGTAATAATAGTAATAGTCGTAGTCGTAGTTGTGGTAGTAGTATTTGTAGTAGTAAAGATAGCAGTAGCAGTAGTAATAGCCGTAATCGTAAAAGTCATAGTTGTAGTAGTAGAAGTTGACAAAGTAGTAGTAGTCGTAGTAGTAGTAGTAGTAGTAGTAGTAGTAGTAGTAGTAGTAGTAGTCGTAATAGTAATTGTAGTAGTAGTAGTGGTAGTAATAGTGGCAGTAGTAGTAGTAGTAGTAGTAGTAGTAGTAGTAGTAGTAGTAGTAGTAGTAGTAGTAGTAGTAGTAGTAGTAGTAGTAGTAGTAGTAGTAGTAGTAGTAGTAGTAGTTATAGTGGTAGCAGTGTTAGGAGTAGTAGTAGTAGTAATAATATGTCTAGTCGTAGTAGCAGTAGCAGTAGTAGTCGTCGTAGTGAAAGTACTAGTACTAGTACTAGTAGTCGCAGTCGTAGTAATAGTAGTAGTAGTAGTAGTAGTAGTAGTAGTAGTAGTAGTAGTAGTAGTAGTAGTAGTAGTAGTAGTAGTAGTAGTAGTAGTAGTAGTAGTAGTAGTAGTAAGTAGTAGTAGTAGTAGTAGTAGTAGTAGTAGTAGTAGTAGTAGTAGTAGTAGTAGTAGTAGTAGTAGTAGTAGTAGTGTAGTAGTAGTAGTAGAGTGGTGATTGTAGTAGTAGCAGTAGTAGTAGTAGCAGTAGTAGTAGAACTAGTGGTAAGAACCGTATGAGTAGTAGTAGTAGTAGTAGTAGTAGTAGTAGTAGTAGTAGTAGTAGTAGTAGTAGTAGTAGTAGTAGTAGTAGTAGTAGTCGTAGTAGTAGTAGTAGTATCATTCGTATTCGTAGTAGCCGTTGTAGTAGTAGTACTAGTACTAATGCTCCGCTCCTTCTCCCGCATGCCCGGCCGCTCTTCTGATGACGGCGCGTGGCAAGAAGTCTCGGTGAAGAGGCACGCCCTATGGCGTGGCAGCGGGGTGGGGGACACAGGGCGATAGCCGGCAGAAGAACTGCAGGCTATCCGACTGTGACACCCAACAACTGCAGGTTGGGGGGCCCTCTGGCGCGCCCAACCCCCTAAACCGACAGGGCGCGAGGAGCCAACCTACGCCCACCGCGGCCAAACAGGCGAATGGGCGGCGGATGGCGCCCCGAAGATCATGCTAAAAGTGGCGGCGGGGAGGTGGAGGTGCCGAAATGCCTGCGGGTGCTATCACTCCGCACTAGCATCCGGGGCGTATTCATAGTGCTCCGTCCTTCCTCCCGCATGCCCGGCCGCTCTTCTGATGACGGCGCGTGGCAAGAAGTCTCGGTGAAGAGGCACGCCGTATGGCGTGGCAGCGGGGTGGGGGACACAGGGCGATAGCCGGCAGAAGAACTGCAGGCTATCCGACTGTGACACCCAACAGCTGCAGGTTGGGGGCCCCTCTGGCGCGCCCAACCCCCTAAACCGACAGGGCGCGAGGAACCAACCTACGCCCACCGCGGCCAAACAGGCGAGTGGGCGGCGGATGGCGCCCCAAGTCTCCCTTTCTACGGAGTCAGAACGGCCTCGCAAGGCGGCATCTTGGCGAAGCAGCCCTGCTCTGTAGCGGAGCTGCTGCTGCGTCGCCCGCGGGATCGCCATCTCCGTCAACAGCTGGAACCCCTCCGTGACGTAGATCCTGGCTGTGGTCTGCGAGCGCCAGCGGCCTAACTCCATAAGAGTTGGCATGTCACGCCGCCTCCGGAAATGCTCTGTGGCGCCACCCCGCCGGATGCTGTACCAGCGGAGGCCAAAATTCAGATTGAGTGCAGCTGCAGCTCTGGCCAGACGGGTCCGGTGGGTAGTGGCCCGCACATCTGACAGGGGCTTAGTGCAACCCCGGTGCTGCATGTAGACGTAAAGGAGTTTGACAGTCCAAGGGTCGAGCAACGGAAGCGACTCCAAGCAGCCGCCACGCGCGCCTCCTTTGCTGCGTGGAAGGACCCACACCCCAGACGTCAAGTCACCAGCAAGTGTGAATTGAGAACGAGTGGCGTTGAAGAGCTCCATGGGCCTCGCGAGCGTGTCAAAACCGAGGAGGATGAAGAGCCCGGTGCAACGCCATTGCTGTGCAAAGCAGTATTGTGCGAGCGCGTACACCCACAGTTTCGGAAGTGGCGGGGCTCGCGAAGGCAACTCTGAGCGCTGCCATGCGGTCAGGAGGCGCCACGACCCTCGGATGCAGCCTCGAACTTGAGGAACAAAATGTGAAATACCAGAAAGCGCATCCGCGGCCATGGAGCGAGGCTCGCCTGTTTCCCATAACTCTTCGATGTACCCTGGCAGCAATGTGTCAAGCGCCGCTGCTGTATCCGGCCAGCGGCGGCCAGAAGTGACGATGTGCTGCAAAAAGCTCCGGACAGCGTCAGAATGCCGGAGCCGGGTGGCTGGCCGAACTAAAAGATCACGCAGCCTGCCCAGAGAGCGGCGCTCCGCCGCTTTGCCGCCGCGGCCGGCTGCGCCTGCAGCCGCCTGTCCGCGGCGGCGGCCCCTGCTCAGGGGTGCTCCAACCTCCGCCGCTTCCACCGACTTGGCCCGTCTGCGGGGCTGCCCTTGCTCGGCGCCCACCCGTAGAAGGCACGGAAGTTAGCAAATCCGCTGATGGCAGCAATGCGGAGGAGCACTTGGTTGAGGTTGTTGGATGAGGACCGCCCTTTCGTGAGCGCTCCGATGGCCGCCTGGCTGTCCAAGAGGAACAGCTTGCGCTTCCCGTGGTGCTTGGGAAGCTTCAGATGAGAGCGCAAGAAGTCCAAGACAGCAGTAGCCTCTAAGACGTTGATGTGTTGCTGGTTCCGGAACGCGTAGGACAGCGCAACCCTCCAGGTCCATAGCCCTGCGTCAAGAGGAGCCCGGGGCCACGCATCGAAGCGATGGGGGAGGCCTGCGTCAAGCCGGATGTCTGACCCCCAGTGATCAGCAAGCCGGCTGAATTCCTGGACAAGCTCCGCCTCGGGCGCGAGCCTGGAATCGGTGGCTGCGGACGCTGGCGCAGGAGCAGCCGAGATGGCGGGGCCGCCGTGCGCCTCGGTCCACTTGCGCGTCGAAGCGCGCTGCGCCTCCGAATCGAGCCTCGCCCATGTAGTCCAAAGATCGTCAATGCAACCCCGCTGCAGGCCTTCCGGGGGCTGCGGCGAGGACGCCACGAGCACGAAGTCCCGCACCATCCGCGCGATGACAATGGGGCACGCGCTGCTGACCAGCTCGGCCTTGGCATCCTCGAGGCCGGTTTTCGAGGAAAGGCGCTCTACGGGCCGGAAATGGCCCCAGCGGAAGCCCAGCATGCGAATCTGTTCATCAGCTTTCAAGCGCCGGGGGCCATGGCGGTCAGCGACCAGATTCTTATCCTCGTAGTGGTGTGTGGGGTGCCTGAACAAATCGTGGACACAGCGCTTCCACGCCTTCTCAAAAACCTCCGCAGGACGCTCTGGCTGCCGCCCTGGCGCGGGGCGCGGCGCCGGCGGCGTGAACGGCTGGAAAGGCGTTTCTGCGTTGGCGACGCGCCTGGCCCCAGACTCGAGGAAGTCGTGCACGGCCGGCGTACGAGAGAAAGAGAATGTCCAGAATGCCCTACCACGCTCCGAACCTGTGGGCCTGAAATCGGAAGCCTCGCACGGCCGGAAGCCGCGAACCCAGAGGAAGGACTCCCGGGCGCAGGGGAGGGCGGCAGTAGCTTGCACGTGGATCGGCTGGTGGCCGACCTGCCTGCTCACCTCCTGCACGTCCGCCTCTGCGATGGTCGCCTCGTACTCGATGAGGTCCACGACGCCCCAAGCAGCGTGCCGCCGCAAGGACTCGGAGATGCGCAGCGGCACCTCGAGGTGAGAGATGGGCCCCTTCGAGTCCGGGCCGATCCGCGCCATGCAGCTGTACTGGAGAATCCGGCGGGCCTGAGGATACCAGCTACTCCACTTGAGAACCTCCTCGTGCGTGACGGCGGAGGCGTCGGGGTAGCAGAAGGCCTGCGGCCAGGCTGCGCGGACCACGCCGCGGGCGACCTTCGACGGCTCGACGGCGATAATACCACAAGGCGTGATGCCCAGCAGATCGAGGGCCATTGCTGCCCCACCCGTGGCGTCGAACACGCTGACGACGAGAATGTCGGAGGGGCAAGCGGGCGCGCCGGCGCGGAGCGCGCCGAGACGGGCCACCCCCTTGGGCGAAAAGCCAGCAGAGACACATGCGCCTCCACCCGTCTCAGAGCCGTCGGTGGCCACGACTTCCCCGGACACCTGCGCGGCGAGGTCTGTCCAAAGGAGGGGCGTGGCGAGAACGACCGCCAGCAACTCGTCCGCCGCGTCCCCGCCGAGGGGCCCGGGCAGCCGCCCGACCGACAGCTCGCGGAAGATCCGGCCGAGGAAAGAGAAGTAGCCGCGGCCGAACTGCATCATGAAGGTGATCCGCCCGACGTCCGAGAGGAGGTCGTCATCGCGCACGCGCTCTGCGGTGAGGTGGCCCAGCGCGCGCCCGAGACAGTAGGGGCGCCGCGATGGCGACGTGCCGACGAGCCTGTCGGCCCCCCGCAGCTGCGCTCCGAGCGTCTCCCAATTGATGGCCCCCTCGGCGGACTTCTCTGGGGCCCGGCGGACGCCGGCGGCAGCGTGGGCAGCTCGGACGGCGAGCTGCTCACCGCTGGGTTTGAACACGTACTTCTCCGCCTCCGTCTCCAAGACCACCTTGCCCTGGTCCCAGTTATCTACGTAAACGGAAAACCAGTTCCGGGGCAGACCTGCGCTCGAGGGGGCACGGTGGCCCATGCGGACAAGGAGGTCAGCTGAGATGCCAGCCCCGCTCGGCGCCTTCCCGGTGACGAGGTTCTCGTGCGCCTCCTGGATGAACGCCGCGGCGTTGACCCAGCCCATGGGGCACGTTCGCAACCGCGGCCGCGCCCAGGCGGAGCCAGGGGGCCCGAGGACCTCTCCAGGGACGGCCTCCTCGATGACGAAAGCACCCCTCCAGGCCCGCGGCACCCTGTAGAGGTGAAGCACCCGCTCTGACCCTCCGAATAGTGGACCTGAATCTCGTCAGGGTGCAAGACAAGAAGGGGCCAAAGGCCCGGGTAGCCCATGGCCTTCGCAGCACCCCCATAATGCCGCTGCAGCGCGTTCGTCGGCACGAGGTTCACGATGAGGCGAAGTACCCGACGCTAACGATTACCTACTTGTTTCCAGGATTTGTGGACCCCAAAGAGCCCGTTCCGGACAGGGGCGCCTCGATGCGTCCACGTCTCCTCCGGGACCTCGGCCTCCATGACGCCTAACTTGCACAATGCCTCCAATATCTTGTAGTACTCGGCCTTGGACTCTACGAGGACGCGAGCTTTCGGGAGCGGCTCCTGGACTTCGTCCTCGGGGAGCCTGAGGATGCTGGGGTCGAGGAGAACTTCGCGGGCAGGGCCGCTCAGCAAGTCCGCGAGCTCCACCTGGGCAGCAACCTCGGGGCTGGGAAGCCCGGGCAAGATGCCGTCAAGCGTGAGCGGGAATGCGCGCGTCACCTGCTCTCCCCAATAGAGCTCCGACGCCCGCTGTTCAACGACGGCGGACGGGGCGAGGTTGACGGGGCCCCCCTCGTCTACCAGGATGGTGGCGAACCTCCGGAAACGGGCCAAGGCTTGCACCTGTGCCGGAGAAGGCTCCGCTGGGTACTTGAGGAGCTTCGCGAGGAGGCGCGGGCCCCCCAGGAACCCGTAGTTCGTGACCAGGGCGGTCAACTCGACCCAGGCGTCGATCCCGACCTCCCGGCTCACGGGGGGAAGGGACTGGGGGGCTCCGCGGCGGCTCCGGATTGCCGCCAGCGCGGCAACGAGGCCAGTCGAGCAAGTCGGCCGCGGCACGGGCAGCAGCTCCCCGGGACCGGCCAAATCTAGCCACGCGCCGCGCGGCCAAAGGCGGCTGAGTTCACCTAGGCCGCCGGGTCTGCCCTCGATGTGCTCCACGAGGACGGCCCCAAGCTGCGCGACCGATGCCCCGGTGGAGAGCTGCTCGGCTAACCGGCGCCGCGCCCCTCGCATGTCGAGAACTGGCTCGCTTGCGCCGCGTCCAAGGTCCAGGCGGTCTATGAGAGCCTTAGCCGTCTCAGCCTCAAGCCGTGAACCAACGCGGAGGCTTCGCCCGAGGAGCGCCTCCCGCTCAAGGGCTTCGGCCCTGGGGTGACCGCCCCATTCAGCCCAGTACGATCGCGGGAGTCCGAGCGACGGGGCGCCTCCTCCGACGTGCACGGATCCGTCCGCCGAAGTCCGCGAACCGAGGTCGCCGACGAGGATGTGCACCCCGGAGTGGACGCAGATCTCCCCGTTCGCCGCCTCCTTATGCCCCCGCCGGCGCTTTTCCCCGAGTCCGGAGCGATCCTCCGCACCAACAGCGGCGCCTAGTAGCGGGGCCCTCGCGGGGGAGGCCGCCGCGGGCTGGGCCTCCTTCCTTTCCCTGCTTCGTGCCCCCCTTTTCCTTTTCCTTTGGGATCTCGTCCTGGCGGAGGCCGCCGGCGGCTCCTGCTCCTCGAACGGGTTCCCGATGAGCTCCGGCCGCGGCGCCGAGGCCGGGAGGGTGCGGCCCGCCTGTCCTGCTCCTCCTCGCGCCGTGCGTCCCGGAGGTCCCCCCTGTCGTACGTCCCGACGGTGTTCGCGGGGATCAGCTCTAGCCAGCGCGCGTTCGTCCAGTTGCCCTCTTCGATGGACAGCTCGATCGTCTTGAACCTCTGCACGGCGATGTCGAGGGCCGTCAGAATCCTGCCCTGCAGGATGGCCTCGATGATGGCCGCGATGGTCTTCAGCTCGCGCGCACTCCGGAGGCCCACGGCGGCCTCCCCGGCCGGGCGAGCGCCGAAGAACGACGTGGCGAGGTAGGCCCGGATGACGTTGTCGAGGAGGCCCCCCCCGAGGAGGTCCTCCGCCGCCACCCCGCGCATGTGGCCCTCCATTCGCCAGAGAGCCTGCTGCGCGAGGACCCCGGGGAACCTGGCCGCTACGACGTGCGTCGGGGGACGCCCTCGGTCGCGCTCCCCACGGCGGCCCTCCCCGGCCGCGTCGGGAACGGCCCAGAAGGCCGCCCCTGGATCTCCTCCACCCTCCGTGTCCGCGGCCGCCAGGATGCGCCCGACGAGCTCCTCGCGGAGCCGCCCCGTGAGCGCGGCTGCAGGCACCTCGCCTGGCGGCAGCGGCAGCGCGGGCCTTGCGTGGTTCATCCGCTCCCGGGCTGCGCGGAGGAGTCCACGTAGCTCGGCGGCGCGCGGATCCTCGCCCGCCGCGCCTGCGGCACGGGCGAGCGGATCGACCGGAGCGCCCCCAGGACCAGCACGCGGCGGCGCAGCGCTGGCCCCTGGTCCCGCAGCCGCCGGCTCCACGGGGGCCGCAGCGGCGCCTCCAGCTCCAGCAGCCCCCGCGGCCGCGTCGGGGACGGGAACACCGAGGGCGCCCGCGAGCGCCTGGAGCTCGTCCGCGAGCCCCGGATCTGCAAAGGGTGCCTGAGCCCCGGGGGGCCCAGGCGAACGTTGTGATGGCCGGCGGGCGGCAGCGCCCGGTGCAGCAGCAGGCCGGCGGCGGGTGGCCTGCGGCACGGCGGCAGCTGCCGGTCGCCGCATGCGCGACGACATCGTCGCGGTGCGACGCGGGGCGCCGCTGGCAGGCCCGCGACAGCATGCCTATGTGCCGAAATGCCTGCGGGTACTATCACTCCGCACTAGCATCCGGGGCGTATTCATAGTACTAGTACTAGTACGAGTAGTAGTAGTAGTAGTAGTAGTAGTAGTAGTAGTAGTAGTAGTAGTAGTAGTAGTAGTAGTAGTAGTAGTAGTAGTAATAGTAGTACGTAGTAGTAGTAGTACGTAGTAGTAGTAGTAGTAGTAGTAGTAGTAGTAGTAGTAGTAGTAGTAGTAGTAGTAGTAGTAGTAGTAGTAATAGTAGTACGTAGTAGTAGTCGTCGTCGTAGTAGTAGTAGTAGTAGAAGTCGGAGAAGAAGTAGTAGTAGTAGGAGTACCCGTAGTAGTAGTAGTAGTAG